TATTTATAATGGCGATTAGCGATAGATAGCATTCAAATTCATAACTTTGGCAACATGACCACATATTTCTATGATTCGATGGTACAAGCCACCGCTTTTAAAGCAATATCATATTAACTTTTTAAATATTGTATGTTGTTGAGTAATCAGCGGAACAGCAGCAGAGACAACAATACAAAATTTACATGTATTAAACCATTTAGAAAAAGCGGTTTACGGCTGTATGCTTAGGGATGTGTATATACGTGTAATGAATTAATTACATTCCTAGGAGACGTTTCTCTCCACAGAACGTTTAACGCTTAATTTTTCAGTTATAATACATCCCTGATCGGCCATTTTTTGTAATTTCAATGCTTTCTGTTCGCGTTTCTCGCGTTTTCTTATCTTTTTGATTTGCTTATATAATTTAGCATGTCGCTTTACTTTGTTCGGATTTTCATCACAATAGTCCAATAAAGTTTCACAAAACGCTCGTCCCATATGCTCATAATCCTATAAATTTAATAATAACTATTAAATTTCTACGTACGTATGTAGAATTGAATGACCGAATCTATTTTACCTGAATGTTGAAATGTGTGCCTTTGCGTGACCCCAGTGAAGAGCCGCCAAAAGATGCTTCAATAGTATAGCTGTTCGTAATGCCCAGCATCCAAACAACAATGCGTCCTGTACCTTCCTTGCTCCGTTGTATTTTAAACTTACAGCTCTCAAATGAGAACTGAAAAATAGTTGTTTTAAAGAGAAAGAACGTCAACTGAAAACATTGGACATACTCGATCTGCGCTGTTTTTGTGCAGCATTAACGGAAAAACTTGCTCAGTAAGCCGCTTTTCAGGATTACGCTTGTTTTCGCAGCCATATATAAATATGTTATGCTTGCGTGAATGAGCGTGCATATCACAGTACATGGCCACTCCACATTCTTCTATCAGTCTAAGGATGGGATGAACTAAATATCAAAATTTTTTGAGGGTAAGCTAGCTACCTTCTTATCATCGCTTTTGTATACCAAATAGATGGATAAGTTTCTCTAATAACAGTTCGATACTGACGATTTAAGTCCTTCCCAGTTAGCGAGTTCCGAGTGTTGCCAACTATTACACCATCTGGATTTAGCATCGGCACTAGTTTAAATATAAATTTGTGACGTAGACGCTTTGCTACTGTAGAATCTCCTGTTATGAAATCCATCAGACCCTTCATCATCCATGATGATGGCGTCTCACTGGGATGCACGCGTGCCGATACAACAATAGATTTTTTGCGCTACTTTTAAAATACATATTAACTTTTTAGCCAGCTTAGCTGTCTATAATCGTTTACCCGCATTGTATCCTCATTATTAGATGGTGCAGTGACAGTCAGATAATACACATTATTGCCTGCTAACGTCCGGCAGAGTAGTCGCAGCTTACAAAATTTTGATTTTACGGGGTGACGCTGTATTTCCATCAAATAATCCTACAAGGAATTTTATGTTGATTGTTTATACTGCTCCACATACTATGCGTTACATACCTGTAAGTCACTGTATGTGTACGGGTAGCTATGCGCAAAGAATACTGTATCATTATCATGCTCAAACTCAATAGTAAAAGTCAGGGTGTAGCTCGAATTATCCTCGTCCTCTTCATTTGTATTATTGTTGCTTCTGCGCAGAGATTTTAATATTAGTGTTTGAAATTTACATCTAGCACATATACTTACTCATCATCATTACGATAATAGGATATGTTGTTACCACATCTTCTCCAGCCTTCGTTTTTTTCCTTTGCTCCCAAGGTAGAGTACATAACTGGTCGCATTCCATCGTTATAAAGGCTATCTGACTTCACTAAATTTACAATGGAGAACCGGTAGAGCATGTTACGACGGGTGTGTCGAACGCGAAAATAGAACCACTGTTTCGATCGGCTTGTATAGAGATCGGGACGTAGATAAAGCTCATAATAAGTGGGTGTAATCTGCACTGCCTTAGCCAAATTTCCTGATTCGAAGCGGGACTCAAATTCTAGACTTTCGTACTCCTCGGCGTTCATAGGATGACAGTTGGACACATATTTAGCGCCCCCCACTGATGAGCGACTGAACTGCATTTGGGGAATATCATAGGAAATATGTTGAGATTGAAAGGTTGTCCGATCAGTAACATTATTAAGCTCAGGATTATGTCTATTGTTAGCTTGATCATAAGTGCTAGTGTTAATGCTAGTACTCATATGAGGTACCCCAATATTGCTGCCCGGAATTGATTCAAAACCTCGACGACGACCCCTTGCTACAGCTGCTACTGCTGCAGCCATGGTCACGGCTCGCGTACAAAGTGGTGCTGGAACCAAAGGTAAATCCATTTTATCCGGTGCTGCTGTAGGCAAAGAGTATGTTTCAATTTCCGCTTTAGTTAAATGGAGTTAGATTCCAGCACGAGCTTAATCTTCAAACTCAAGCAATACAAGATATTATATGGCCGTGTGGCTTCTTATATTATTGAAGTTACTATTGCAATTTTACAGTGAAAACAAAAGACATATTTAATATTAGAAGCTAGAAATAATTCAAAAGTATGCGTACTACGGATTTATGGATTGAGATTGAGATTTGGACTCGTACTGATGTCTAATTTGTATTTTAATATTCATTCATTATTACATGCAATCCTGCATATGCTTTCTTCCCCAATTAGCGTTTCTGTATCCGATACTGAGCTCGAGCTAGTACGGGGACACTTATCCGCGCCACCGGCTAAACGACCAACTGAAACTTTCCCATCGCAGCCACTTATAACGTCGTCGTTTACAATGTCATTCATTTCTATGCTGCAGTCGTCACTGTTGTTTATGTCTTCGTCCCTGTCACCGATCATGTTACATATGCGTGAATGTGAAACTTTTTCAACTGATTGGTTTGAATTGCCTTGGAAAGCAACTTCCAGGCGCGGAATATTTGTTTTGGGAAGCTTGAAGGGGGTAACTGCATATTTATTCTGTACCTTTTCTGAGGTTAGGCTGCTAGTGCCAGTCGAGGGCTTTTCGTCGTAATCGATAATCTTTTTAATAATCGCCTTAGATACTTTTTTGCCAAACTGACTAAGAACGTAATGCGGTGAAGCGGGTTTGTACTCAGAACTATTGTTCTTCCAAATGTCTTCAACTTTAGGAGTGCCCTTAATCCTTCCATCTGTGCTATGCTGTAGTGTTGTAGTATTGAGCCGTTTTTTCTTCGCATCGATGAGACTCTGAATGACGGGTTTCTCACGAGTCTCTTTACCATCCTCACTTACATTATAGTCATCATCATCCTGAGAATTGCTCGTAGAGTGATCATCCAACCTATTAAATAGTTTAGACACACTGTTTAGATGTGTTTTCCCCGACTGTAGCGTCATTCTCCGATTAACAGATATGAATTCATTCCTGGAATCCGAAGAGTCATCTGAATCTTCACTTGACTTTTCCTCTGTCTTGATTTTTGTATGTGTGCTTCCCTGTATTTTTGTTAAAATTCAATAAAATTATGATAATATCCCAACAAAAAATTTTCGCTGTAATCACCATCACATGTCTGCCCTCCCAAGTTTGTTAAATGTGAGTGTGCTGGCTGTACATATTTTTTGGTACCACAAAAAGTAAAATTATAGTACTCACATAGTTTACAGCACTTATAGGACAGTATGAAAAAACAACAATGCCATTTTCCTCACCAACTGGGCGCGGCTTTAGCTCATTGCCCGTTGGAACATTAAGTGGTTCGGGTTGCACTGGCACATAGGGAATGTGTATAATTCGCTCTCCAATGACCTGAGAAATAAGTCAAGTAATTTATAATCCTAGCTTTGTTTTTATACCCTGAACCCATTTTCAATGGGAAATCAGGGTATAATGATTTTGTTGAAATGTATGTAACAGGCAGAAGGAGGCGTGGCAGACCCCA